GGAACATCAAAATGAGAAGAATTCGGGAGGGAGAACTGAAGAGTGATTCACAGATGTAAAAGAAACAGACAGACACCAAGGCTCAGAAAGGGTAAGATGAGAACTGTGGTAGGGGTCGAATATGACATGCAGTGGGGTGATAGTAGTTTGAAGTGAGAAGTCAACTGCCGGTTAAAAGACTTTTTTGCCGTATGTGTATACATTGCCCAGGGTGCACTACGAGGAGGTAAGTCTATCCCACACCCCACGTTCAAAAAACATCGGTTAATATGTGCAGACTAAAAACCTAGTATTTCTGAGAACTATGCGGAATTAATGAAAAATACCGTCTTTAAGCAAAAGTTGAAATTAAAATAATTAATAATGAATAAATAATTTGTAGCAGATCTGGACAATAAGTGAGAGTCCATTTTTAGAAGTAATGATATCTTCATCAACCAGTTAACAATTTAATGAATGTTGTTCTGGGAACATACGCATTTACGAATAGTATAGTAATTGAATTCCATCCAAGTGCACAATATTTTCAACCGTCCGGATAAACAATGGTGTGAAGAAGGAATTGACAATGCAACTGATCTTCCTTTGTTTATTCAAAGTTCAAGAATGCTCTGTAAACAAATTATTATGGTGTATCAACTTTTTCCGAGTGGACTGATATGTTTTCATTCCAAATCGATGAACTTGTCAACCATCATTTAAAGTGAAACAGCTATAAAATGAATTTGATTTGAATTAAAAACAACTCCAATTGTTGAGGGGGCATGAATTTCAATCAATACAACAAAATCAAACAAAAATGCACAGTTAAAATGCAATTAGGGTTATTTTTGTCCGATAATTAATAGATACTTGTAAACCCTCCAATTTCGTAGATCTTGAAATTTTTTTACCATTAATAAAAATTTAGCAAATTTTGCAAGCAAAGAAACGAATCATTAGAAATATTTTTCGCGTTTCAAATCATACACCTTATTCTCATTGAACTTTAAATTAAATTTGTTAGAAGGCAACATTTCATAATGTGTTGGTAATCAATTCACATTTACATTTTAGTTTCGTTCGTAGTAATAATATCGGCATATTCACGAGATACAAGATTTTGTACAATGCACTTTTAAGGGGATAAGAATTATTTTTATTTTCAAGATTTAAGTGCCTTTAAAAGCAATATTAATTCACATGATTTAGTGGATCTTTGTGATAAAATAAAACCTTTTCATAAATTCTAGAAATCTTACTTTAGATGGGCTTTTAAACTTTAATCACGAAACATGGGAAGAATTTGCTGTAGATTAGAGCCTATTTCATTTTGTCTTATGATTCAAATTAATGGAATTTGAGAATGCACGCCCCACATTTTCAAATATTCAAAGTCTTTTAATTTTATCTTTTACAAAATACTGTTATTTAATTTGCGTTTCCTCGTAAATAATTACTTTAAATAAAATTGTTTATTATAAAATGACTCATATTTCAGCGTTATAAGCTATGATTATTATTTCTACGATGGAGTTAAATTAATTATAATTCTGCAAGATGCACTAGAAATAAAATAAAATTAATTACATTAGTATAAATAGTACCCGCCAAGGCACATAAATCAATTTCCATTTTTTCTGCTATTAATTAGATGCATAAAATGTATACTTAATTAAAATTAAATTTAGCTCAAACTGCAAATTCAAAAAACTTTAAACATGCACATTAGGTAGATGAGTTTTGTCATTATAAATAATTTATGTGCTTGCTAACATTGATCTAATCTTCGTTTTAGTATTGGGGGGATTAACAGCAGTAGCAAAACTTTCAATAATTTAAAATAAATTGCTTATTTCTCGTAACCTTCACTAGCCTATTAATTTTGATGCAAATTCTCACGATAGCGTAAGCTTAAGATGTGCAATTGGTAAGTCCTAACTCGTGTTTCTCATTCGCTGTTCTCATTAGAATAATTTTACTCTTATATTAAATATACAACTAAGTCATAAATAAAATTTGTCTTATGGCAGTGTTTATTTAGAATAAGCTAATTACCATAGCAAATAGAAAAGAAGCTATTGAGAGATTTCGTATTTATTTTTCTATTTTTTCGGTCACGTGTTGAATGGCAAATGGCGGATTTGGTATAGTGGCCAAATAACGTGCTTATGAAATTAGTTCGGAACAGAGGCAAAACTGTTTTTTACTGAAATATTAAAAGATGCATTGCAGAACTAAATCAAACATGTATAGATTTTTAATACCGAAAAAAACAAAACAAAACAAAATGAATTAAGGCCAAAAGTTTTTTTTTTAAAATTTCATCGAATCTATTTCTTTTCACTTCAAGTTTTGTTAATTGTCTATTCTACGCGTTCATAGGTTTCCCATTATCCGCTATTTGTTTTGCTTCAATAAATACCAAAACACAAAGTTTAAAATTCATTTTCATTGTGCACTCAAAATTGATAAAAAACTGCGACAATGATTGATTGGGGGTATAGAAAAATTTCAGAAAACAACGCAACTATATTGGTCACTTTTAAAATTCATTGAAGCGCTCAATAAACTTTTATTCAATTTTTTCAAGAATGCTATTTTTGGAAATAACTTTGCCAATATATAAAATTACTAACAACTCTAAAGAGATCTCTTAAAAAGGTAGATTTGAGTTAAAGATTGATTCAAATTAAAATATTTCTGTATTTGTAATTTATCCTGTTCAAATAAAATTTAGCTTTTATTCAATTTGTGAAAACCATACTATTTAGAAGGAACTTCTTAAATTCATTAAATAGGGAAATCCCTTTTTTTCGTTGTTGGTATTTTGTGCAACGCTTCAAATGAGTTTTACCCAATTTTCTAACGAAGTATAATTTTAAAGTTATGATTGATGATTGATACTTACAGCTGCTTTAATTGAATAGGAAATGAAGTAAAAGCATTTTTAATGAGCAAACAAGCCATTGAACCGAAATAAACAGCTAATTGGCCTCTGCAAGTAAAATGTAAACATTAACTGTGCGACGTGGCAAACTAAATACGCAGAGAAATGAGGAAGTTAAAAATTCTTAAATAATATTTCAATAAAATATATTCAATAACTGAATTGTGTAAATGAATTATTTAACTAATTATCCATGGGATAATACTCTGAAATCGAAAAAGCTACGATTTTTTGCAGATAAATTTTTATTTTAGCCTCAAGATGAAATCCAATTATTCGCTTTTTTTCCGAAATTTATTTATGAATCATCTATAAGAAGCAGTTCCCACTTTTCACTTGAAGCCCATAAGAAGCTTCATTTAGAGCCTTTTGCAAAAATGTGATTTCTTATTATCAAAATCACCCAATTGAATTCAAATCCAATTAATTTAAGTTAAATTAGTACTTAAACTTCTGAATTATTTTTAAACGAAATGCAATTATTGTGGAGTTTATAATAACTTCTAAATTTATGCACAGCTGTAACAATCATGTGCGTGTGAATTAAACTAACACAATTCTTGCGTAATTCCCATTTAAAAATACTTACTCTTTTTAAGAAAATTAAACCTTACCTCTAAATTCCATAATTGCCAACTTCTCAAAGACGTGGAAATTCCAAGAATAAGTTATTACTTGTAAATCAATTGTTGCATGGATCTGTTTTAATATCAATGTTATTATAGCTTCCCTTTTAGTGGTTACAGGGAAAACACCATTTCGCAATTAATAACATTTGACCTAAATGCTTGATTCTTCATTTAAAACTGAATATATATTGTTACTTCATTTTTGATTGATTAAAATTTGTTAAAAATTACTTCCATTTACAATTTTTGTTAGGATATTGAATAACTATTATTTTTATTATCAACTATATCCAATCAGTTGAATTTTCTTCTCAATACCGCATTTATGATTGCCATGCTAGTTTTACGAAGTAAGTCATTAAAAAGCTAATTTAAAATTATATTCTAAAGAGAACTGCAATGACGTCACCTCAAAGACTAGCTGAATTTTTTATTTTTTTGTAGTAGAATCACATGCGTAATTTAAGGTATGAAAAAGTGTGTGAAGGCAGCACGTTGGAGGCTAAGTGCGACCTATAAGGAGTTGCAGAGTGAATAGAAATTAGTTTTAGCAGAAAATGAAAGATTAGTGAATCACCAAGCATTATTAAGTTAGTGCTAATTTAGACTTTTCTCACCTTATTTATAAGAATATTTGTTTCAAAATCCTCATGATACGCATAAACAATGGCTTAAAAATAGCTATACAAAGTTAAGTTTATGAACTTTACAAAGAAGAAAAAACAAAAAACGATAAAAGAGTCATCTAAGTCGCAAAACTGTATTAAAATATAAAAAATGAAGCCTGTTGAAAATGTTCAAATTTTAATTAGCTAAATTAAACTATTCATATTCATATTAAAATTGATTTGACTTAAACTCGTAAAGCGTTATCTACTGATTACTGATAAGTAGAAATGTGATTGTCATTCTATTCAGCCTTGAAAGCACAAAGTTTATTCGAGCTCATAACAAAAATTACGCGATATTAAAATTACTAAAAATCAAGTTTACTTTCAAAGTTTAACATATTGGTTTGTATAACTAAATGCGCTTTGGAAATTTTTTTCTTATTATTATTTCTTGATATGATCAGAATTGACAATTTAATGGCAAAATAGTTCATGGATAAAATTGAACTAAATTAATTCATACTTCAATAAGGGTATTGAAAAAATTGAATTTTTACCAAATTTAGATATATTACCAAACATGTCTCTTCTTTTTTCACTAATTCATTTGATAATTAAACAAATACATAAGGTTGTTAGGATTTATTTTTAATAATGACATATGGTATTTATTTATAAATTATCTTTTACATAGTAAAGTTAAATAATAAAACTTATAAATTGAAATATATTCTCATATACAAAATAGAAATAATTATATATTTATTTAATGTAACTTTTCATGTGTATATTTGACCTTGAAATCCACGATTTTCTTTACTTGTGGCCGCAATGCTGGGTTTTCTGCTGCAGAAGTCTTTTGGAAATTTTCGGACTGCCACACTTATAACAAAGTTAAAACCCACCAAGCCATCATTATGCTGCTTACCAAAGCGATATCAGGTCACTTATGTGGATCCTATTACAAGAGGAATCTCTGATGCAGCCCGAAAGAAGGTCGGATATTGGCTGATGGGAATGGCTGGACTAACTTTTGGTGTCATCATTGTAGGTGGAGTAACTCGGTAGGATCAACTTGTTTACTTTATTTTTTAGCCTTACCGAGTCTGGTTTATCAATGGTTGATTGGCATCCATTTAAAGAAGTACCGCCTCGTACCGAAGAGCAGTGGCTTGCGGAATTCGAAAAATATAAACAGTTTCCAGAATATGAGCAGTAATGTCATTCATTTTTATTCAGTGAATTATTTTAAGTGTTTTGAGAGAGCATGGGGAAATGACACTATCTCGATTCAAGTTCATATGGCACATGGAGTATGGCCACAGACAACTGGGTCGCCTTATTGGTGTTGCCTATGCTATACCAGCTGCACTCTTTTGGTACAAGGGTTACTTCAATAAGGTTATGAAAATCAGGGTAGCATCATATGGTGCTCTCATTGGATTCCAGGTAAATGGAAGACATTAAGGCGCTTGTCTATTCATTTACTTCTTTGGTAAGGTATAGCATTTTATGGCTTGATATTTCAATATGTTTATTCACAAGAACAGTTCTAATTTTGCAGCTCTACAATTTTACATTTAGCTGTGTAAGTGGTTAATATCTTAAGACTTTGTCATTGGGCTTGTATTCGTTGGAATTCGTTTAGTTCGCAATGTAACAATCTTTCTTATAATGGCAGAGTGGTATTGCCTTCCGTCTACATTAAATAATGCAGATTAAAATTCATGAAAGTTTATTTTTTTATAAACACTACTCGTTTTGCTGTTTGGCATCTAGACGCGTAACTTTACACATTTTTGTTAAATCTTGGCCACAAATCAAGGCCTTTGCACAAACTTTCACGAGGTCGAGGTCTTCTGATGCGTCTTCTCGTGGCGTTCAGGAGAGTTTTAAGTTTGGTATTATCAGATATATCTACCATTTGCATTGTAACAAGGATTTTGTACGTTTGTCTATGACTGACATCTCTTCGCGATAGTATAAGTCTCAATTGGTATCATCTTTGTATTTTAGTATTTCCAAGTGATTGGTGTTCTCTACCCGCACACTTTTTTCGATGGCTTCGCTCTAAGGTTTGCGTGACTATTAGCTCTTCCACTTTGCCATCTGCTTTAATTCTACAATTCCCCTTCTTAAGGTGTAGAAGCAGTTTTCATTTAATGCCTACTTTATAAGTCTAGTGGCTCTTTCGCGTCTCTGTCTGCATTAATTCGACGTATTTATTTCAATAATTTCCTTCCCTTAGGGTCTTTTAGGATGGTACATGGTTCGCAGTGGATTAAAAACACCCCCGCGGCCAGCTGGTTTGGATCCAAACGAGGAATTCGTCGGTGTTCCACGTGTGAGCCATTATCGTCTCGCAGCGCATCTCTCAACTGCAGCCATCCTCTACTCTCTCTTCTTGTGGGCTGGTTTCAGCCACCTGTTTAAGCATCCACATGTAGATTCTACCTTCCCTACTTAGGCCATGCCTTTCTCTTCTACTTTCCTAACATTGGCTGTTTCACTGTTTTATATAGGTTGTGCGCTTTCCCCAATTGAGAAATCTAAAGATCATGGGTCACTCTACCAAAGCAATGATGTTCACAGCTCTTGTCTTCGGTAAGCTTTTTTAACGAGTTCACATTTTCGTCTTACCGAAGGGCTTATTGTGTATGCTTGTGGGGATATCGTTATGTTATCGCCACCAACCAAAAAATTGGCTTGCATAGGAATTACTAACTGAAAATCGATGTTTCTTCAAAGGAATCACATTGGCAATGCCTCGACGGTTTAGAGTGGAGATGATTCTGTTGTTATGTTTTTATGCGCCAAGTTTTTCGCATATTTCATTTTTTTTTATTCACGCATCTTTGCTAAGAGCGATATTCCTTTTCAAGTTTCTTTGTTCGCTACACCATGTACCATAAAGAAATTTTGACAAGTTCTTCATTTCATAATGCATACGAAATTCCACAGGTAGATATTTTATTGAAAGTGATTATATGCCATCTACATCTCCGATTGTTCGGTGCAATCACTTATCACATCAAATTTTTTATATCATTAGTCTTTCTTTAACCTCATTAATTTTCAACAAATTCCGTTTCTTCGTCAAGGTATTTATGAGTGTATCTAACTGTGTATCTAACAATTGCGCCTCTTTTAATACTCAAGACTGATAATGGAAGCTATTTTCTACTGGATTAAGGTATATCAACCTCTGTGCGCACAGGATTTAATGGTTTTATCTCTGACCCTGTCAATCTTTGACATTAATCCCAACAGATGGTTTGTTTGCATTCTGCCAAATTGTTTGCTTCGTGGTTTCACACTCTGGGTGAGGTAAGATTTATCAGATACTACTTTTCTTCTATATAGTAGAAGTATTACTAGATCTTACATGAATTGGGGAGGGGAATAAGGATCATCCTTCAATGTTTCGGTGCTGAAAGTCAAATGTCTCTTTCTAATTCGATTAGTGGTTTACTTTTATGGTGTTTCTTGGTTTTGAAATTTTTCAGGATGTTAAGTTCAACTTTAGTCTAGTTTGGTTCGAAAATATCGCTTGCAAGGACTAAAGGTTTTCCATACTGATATCGATCTTCGCGCGTGTGTATTAATTTAAGAATTGAGTTTGCAGACCACATTTTACTGCCTGTAGAAGTCAAACACTTCATGACAAATTTAAGGAATTCGATCACAACTAACTCCACCTTATTTTGCACTCATAAAGGTGCATTTGTGGCTGGCCTGGACGCTGGCTTGACCTACAACTCTTGGCCCAAGATGGCTGACCGCTGGATCCCAGATGATTTAATCACTCCCACTTACGGCTCAACTAAACGAAATTTGGTTGAAAATCCCACTGCTGTTCAATGGATGCATCGCAACTTGGCCTACCTCACCTGTGGCTTGGCAACCGCAACTTGGCTAGCCACTCTCCGGGTGCCGGGTGGCCGAAAAGTCACTGGACAACGGATGCGCACCGCTGCTCATCTCATGCTAGCTGCTACTGTTGGCCAATCGGCCATTGGTATATTCACGCTGTTGAATTATGTCCCAGTCTGGCTTGGTGCAATGCATCAAGGAGGCTCGTTGGTCCTCCTCTCGGCCATTCTTTGGTACACACATTGTATTAGAGCCATTCCTAAGTAAAATTCCTACCCCTTACCCATCCTCCTTCCAACCTCCCCCCCCCCCCCCCCCCCACCATCCCTCGCTCATATCTTTAGGTATTTGTACAAACTGCCCCTATTTTAGGCTTACCTTTTTTGTTCCCCTTCTCTCCCTTTCAGTAGTGATAATGTGACAAATGGACGTTTTTAATAACTCTAGCACCTAAAGCCTCTCATGCTGCCTCAATTTCAGCTCGACATGAAAAGATGTTGCTGATCATTTATTACGGTTTAAAAAAGACAGACCATTGGTACAACAGAGACACGCTCGGGCACGCTATTTTGAAGACCGTTCATTAAGAAATTCAGTACAAAGCGCATATACAAGAGGTATGTACAATGAAAGACCACCTCCCTATTCAGTGCCCTTAGTAAGGTCAAAATCTATTCGATTTATAGTGTCGTCTCTGCACCCAATAAATATTGACAGCACTCCAGGTTTAAATTGATGGACAAGAGTCGTTGAGAAGGTTTCTGATGGTAGTCGATAAATGAGTTGAGGTGAAGGGGGATTGTCCTCAATATTTTCATAGTGGAAAATGCATCCGTCTGTACGGGCGAAGATAATGGAATCATTCTGCTGAATCACTCGAGGTGTTAGAGGAAAGACCGTTCGGGAACTCGAATCTAGCAACTAAAATAAAGTGGATTAAAGACACATTCAGATCCAGGTCTGCCAAGATTCCTCAAAAGATTGTGGCTTATAATTCTCATTTGGACAAGGCATTAGCCGTCTGAAGACAAAATTATGGCTGATAGTATTCGGTGTTGGGTTTTGTATTCGATTATCTAATAACGGAAAAATACACAATACTCAAATCACGGACTATCTACCCTGCAATCCTAATCATAAAAAAGACTAAACTCTAGTGTCCTAATTGAGTTGAGAGGAGCGGCGTCATTGAGTCCTCTTAGTAAGAACCTCGAATTCTGGTGCTACTTTTATTGGCCATATATGGCTCATGTGATACGACTTCTACGTTGAGAGCTCGTGCTTCAAGTTGAGGTCAATACTTAAATTTTGCAGGATAGAATGTGGTTGCTGTTATCAGATGGACTTATGATGTTCTTGCCCACTACATTCTTCATGCATCGGTGAAATGGAAGGATAATGGATGACTTCTGCCGAAAGCAGAAGCACAGTGCGCGAAATAACAGATGGATTGGTTTGTACACTGTCCAAAGAATGAACCTCAAGTTATGCAGACTAGATTTGACCAAACTGCCATGAATTTCGGAGGTGTACTACGTCCACAGTGAAGAGATGACTCCGCATTTTGTAACATTGAGGAGGAGGGGGGGGGGGGGGGGGGGGGGTAGGGAATATTCAAATGCCTGCGTAGAAACGCATACTACTTTTAATAATAGGCCCATATGTTTGGTGGCAACACGATTCGGCCCTCCACTACTCCTCAAAGAAGTCATGAATGGTTATCACTCAATTTTTACGAATTCACCAGTTCCATTGTCTGCCTCTTGTCCCCCCCCCCTCCCCCAGATCTTAATCCAATGAAGTCGACACAGACATTAATTGCCATGCCACTATCACAAATGTCAACCAGTTAATAAGATAGAATGAAAGGAAGTTTTGGAGACCCATCATGGGGAAGTATTAAATCAGGTTCCAAAGACGGATTGAAGCTTCAATAGACGTCAATGGCGATTGTTTTAAGTAAAACGCCTTCACAATAGTGAAATGTCTTTTAAATGTTGTAATTAATAACTACTTTCTTATAGGCGAGGCAATCAAATTTATCCGAGTACCCTGCAGTTATTCCTCCACTAGACCTAATAATTGGAGTAGTAAAGTGAAGACATAAGTTGCTACTTTTTCTTACCGTAATACCACAATCAAGAGTCCATATTGCTGTGCCATTGGTTGGTTCAAGGGCATGCAGGTGTCCCGACTGATTAGCCAACAGAAGGAGAGAGCGTTTGCTTGAATTTAGGGTAACAGGGGGAGAGAAAAAACCTCCACGAGGATTGAGACTAACGCTCCAAAGTCGAACTCCATTGCTTCTTAAGAGACCATGCACGTTACCATCCCCACTTGCTACAACAATTCGGTTGAGATCTGCTAGTAACGTTGGCGCTCCAAATATTGGCCCTAAGTTGTCTACAGACCAGTCTTTGTGACCTGTAATGAAATGCGTTATCAATTTATTTGTATTTTGGACGATTTGATTTGGCTCCAGGTGTGTTTAGATTGATGTCTAAGGTCATTGTATCAGACACAAAAATGTTCATCCAGGTAACGTGTAGCACAGATCATGCCCTCTAAGTGGTATATACCAAGTGAGAGCAAGACTTGACTAGACCAAATCTTGGTTCATTGCGTTCAGTTCCAGCTATGGGGAACAAACGCAGATGTACGTGATTAATTTATCCAGAGTCGGGGTGTGCGATAGACTTACCCCCACGTGGTGCATCCTGGGCAACGTATACTCATACGGCAAGTAAGTCTATTAACTGGCAGTTGACTTCTGAGTTCAAACTATCATGACCCCAAGTCTATTAATCGGCAGTTGACTTCTGACTTCAATTACCATGATCTATTAACTGGCAGTTGACTTCTCTATGTCATATTCGTGTTTATAAGTCGGTAGTTGACTTCTGACTTCAAACTACCATCACTCCACTGTATGCCATATTCGACTACTTTCACAGTACCCACACCACCTTTTTTCTACCTTTGTGTCTGCCTGTCTTTTACATCTGTGAAACACTCTTCTGTTCCTCCTCTCGACTTTTTGTGACTTTGATATTCCTTCTCTCTGTGAAACCCGAAGTCAACTATAGGGCTAATGATAACTGTCATAAAGCAGGCCATTTGATGGAAATAAATTTATCCAGACTCTATGAGACCAATTCCCCATTGAAATATTCAGGAAAAACCGCCGCACCCATTCTCTCCGATCCCTGGTGGCGGAATTGACCTTGGTTGCCTTTTAAACAAGTGCTCTTCAACATACTCCGAAGAATAGAACACTCGTAAACAAACATCACAATAATTACTCGCAGCTAACAAAGAGACTAACTACTAAATTGAGTTGTAAGTAAATTCATATTAAATTCATTACATATCTTGAATATTGTAACATGAACTAAGCTTTTAATAACAATTTGCAATTTATTTATTTATACCAAATGGCAGGCGTTTTGATAACTATCATTAGCCCCTTAGTTGACTTCGGGCTTCACAGAGGGGAAGGAACATCAAAGTAAGAAAAAATCGAGAGGGGGAGCAGAAGAGAGATTTAAAGATGCAAAGGGATGGGCAGACATAAAGGCAAAAAAGAGATGTGAGTACCGTGGAAGTGGTAGAATATGATATACAGTGGTGCCATTGTAGTTTGAATTCAGAAGTCAAATCCCGGTTTATAGACTTTTTGCCGTATGAATATACGTTGCCCAGGAGGTACGTCTATCGCACACCCCACAATTTTCAATTGAAAATGTACTAGAAGCCAACTTTCCGTATAAACCAATTCCATATTCGAAAACTCAGAAATAATCTTGTTTACTCTGAAGGTCAGTTTAAAGTAAATGTGATAAATTTAGAGGAACCTTGCAACCTAACATCTCTTTTGAAAGCGTGACGGGTCAACAAGATTGGATTAGAAAGATATTGTCTTACAATATTAACCGCAAATAATCAACAGAAGGAAAATAAAAAAAGGAAAGAGGGAATATTTCCACTGAATGCCAAATATGATGATGTGAAGAATGTAATAGACTCTTACCGGTATTGACATCGACTTGATGAAGACCTCCTCCCAAAGTTCCAACAAACGCGAATTCACCATTTTCATCCAATGCAACTGGAGCGACTATCGGTGATTCGTCCAAATTCTCCGACCATTCGACACGGCCATCTTTTTCGATAGCCAATAATCGTTGTCCATGGGAGCCAATCAGCAATTTGGAAGTATTTGGCACTCGTGTAGATGCCGACTTCACAACTCCGCCCACATCCACTATCCATGCAATTTCTCCATCTTCCACTTGAAGGGCATAGAGTTGTCCATCCAAGGATCCAAAAACAACTAGACTATCAATCAAGCAAGCAGTGGCTTCGATGCGACTTCCAATATTACGAGACCAGAATTCTGCTCCGGTGTCGATATCAAGTCGTTTAAAAGCACCAGAGTGACTTCCAATGAAAACACTCTCGGAATCCATAATCGGTGAAGCGTCAACACATTTTCCAAGAACAACACTCCAAACCAATTCTGCTTTACAATTTGCAACCACCTTTCGTCGTTTAACTTCAATTCCAGTTTTTTCTGAAGCAGGCATATTGATCTCCATATCTGAAGCAGGAGTCTCTGCTAATTGGATAAATTCGCTAAACGGCCTACTGAAAAGAGTACTAAGTAGTATAGCCTTCTTTGAGGTCAAAACTGGATAGTTATCAGCGAGGGTCTCAATAAGATACATTGCTTTGAGAGATGTACCACCAAGTTGTTGGAACGTGAGATTACTTATATCAATATTAGTAGACGCGATTGATGAAAGACAGGTTCGTTTTATGGATCTATCAACAACCTTTCCATTAGCATTAAGATGGAGCGGCTTATTAGATAGAATCACGTTGTTGTAAGAAATAGGAAGGCCTATTCTCGCCATAAGCCACTGTTTTAGATCGCCCAATTCATTAGATTGAAGACGGTCTTGAAGTTGAATATAAGCGCTTAACGGCGAGGCTTCACAGCGACAACTAATGACCCGATGACGAGTGCCCAGAAGTCGTACAATTTCTGTCTCTAGACGCTCCAAGTAGTATTTCAATCCATGGATCTTAACTAACCGATCCTTTCGTCCAACAAACCATAGTGGGGAATGCTTAGAAGATGGAACAGAGATTCCATAGTCTCCAGTTGGAATTAGCCTTTCCTCCTGCAATTCCTTCAATGCCAAGAGTATTGCGGAAATTGTAAAGGGCTTATCAACAATTGCATATCCTCCACCTTTACGACCGACATAAATCTGACCAATATTTGTTTCCGCATTAACGTCTTTAATAATGACCTGCGATTTGAGCATAGGGGAACCAATAGGAGTTGCGCCCGATATTGGAGGCTTTTCTGATAAAATTTCTTTAGCGTTGACAATACTGCTCCATGCGGAAACTTCCGTCAATCCGTAGAGAAAGAAAATGTCCCAGTTGTCCAAAGCCCAGGAAGGCAATCTATCGGGAGAGCAAGGTTCTCCTCCGAGAAATAGGCTCAAAGTTTTGAGGTTTGAGCATGACGATGGTGGGGGCAACCGAGAGAAGACGCTGGGAGTACACTGCCATGTATCCGCATCAGAAGACAATATGATCTGCAAAGGACACAACAAAAATTTATTGACAAAACCAAGATTCCAGGTTACTACAATATCCCAAAAATTTTGGGTTGTAAAAGGCATCCATAAATATCTGAACCGCGTAATTGGATTAGGGTTTAGAAAATGGTCTATTTTGTCACCGCTTCACCTCCTAATCGATGTATTCGAAAATTTATTTATTGTAGCTGTTTGTATGATTCCCTGAGACGTACTAAAAGGCTTGGATGATGTATGGGGTGCCTAAGGTCTTCGAGGCATCATATTCCAACGAGAGGTGTAAGTTGGGCTACCACGTAGATGTTTAAGAAAGCAAGAACAACCGATCTTAACATTAGGCATACATTTTCAGAGGTAAATATAATATCGAGCATTATAACTAACTGTTGTAGTCCGGCTAACTAGTGCAATGCAAAGTTCGATTATCTTACACATTTCTAAATATTTGAGACACTATTATTAGGACTGCATGTTTTTTTTAAATCGCAAGCCACATATGACCCCAAATGCGCGAAATACTTCAATACCTGCTCAAGTAGATTTCCATCCACCCCGAAAAGAATTGAACTTGATGGAAATACAACGTGTCGATGCGTGGCCAATGCGACGTATATTTGAACTATTGAGGCGTCAAATGTCAAAGGAGACGTAATAAAGACACCTGGAATCGTTTTTCTGCCGTCAACAACTGGCAAATGACTAACCAAATCGATAACATTCGCAGATACGCAAGAGTGACTGGCAAGGACCAACTTTGGAGGTCCAGTTGAGCCCGAGGTTGTTATGCAATAAGCGAGGTCGCACTCGGATGATGGGAGTTGATGAGATTTCCCATCAATTCTGACGTAGACTTTAAATGGAGATGTTTGAACGCAAGTGAAATATTTACTGAGTACCTTGGGTTCATCACAAAGGCAAATGACAGCACCAAAGAGATTGAGGAATTCCGCTAATTGGTCATGATTTGAAAGAGGCAGGAAGGCTGAATTTGAAAGCAAAGTCCCATGAACAGCAATGAGAGTATATACATTTGGATTCCATAGGATACCTACCAATGCAGGAGAAACAGGTCGCAATAAATCCTCTAACTCATTCGATAAACGCGTGAATTCAGAATAAAGTAGCGAGCATTCACGGTGTACAGTCAAGGACTCTGATTCATTAGTCCATATCTCTGCAACTAAATCACCGGCTGACCATTGATTTGATATATGTGAATAAAGCTTGCATGTCAATTTGGAGTCCATAACTAGAAAATTCCAAAGACAGCTTTTGACTACCAGCGTTTCGACCTCACCTCCTAATACCAACACAAGTAGTAAGGACAAAAGAATAAAAATAATGTCAATGAATAATTTTTATTAAAACATTGCACTTCATTATACAAAAAAATGTTGGTCAATGGCATGGGCCTATTTATTCTTCAGGGTGTTCGCGTAGTCGCAAATAACATTTTCACTATCCACGGAAAATAGTGACTTGGGACGTAGCGTTTTGAGCATTTTGATTGCCTCCTTTCCGTTAATTTTGTGATGATAAGCAAGATACGCCGCTAGGATTGTTCCAGTACGCATTTGACCGAATTGGCAATGAACCCCACTTTTCTATATAAAAGCAATCACTAAAATATTCTAAAGAAGAAAACTAAATTGGCTTTACTTACCTCCCCTCGACGTTCAGCATCAGCAATTATTTCCACTATTTCTCGAACTGTACCCAGATCACCCGGTACAAACTCTTCAACTGGATAGAAGTGGCTTGTTAAGTCTGAGAAAATGAAGAAATTGAAGGTCATACTAAATATTAAAGTAAATGTGAATATGATTGACACATATTATCGTAGTCAGTTATATCCAACAATTCAGTGAATGTTTTAACTTACTAGGGAATAGGTCGAGGTCATCAGGCTTATCTTCACTTAGCGTAAATAAATGTTTAATGTGTGATTCATTGACGAGATAATTCAAATTTTCCTTTGAATAAGGAAAGGCAAAGCCAGCCACAGAGTCAGATACCCAAGAAAAATTACCCGGTGGAGAAGACATCCCCAATGAACCGATAAGTCGACGAACTATTCGGTACATGGAAAGCTTGCAAGGGGAAGGTCAATCGCTTCTTTCTTTCTTGTAATATATTTCTCTCCTAGAGTTTAGAGCATTCTTGTAAATATTTTATTATTTCATGATAATTTCCAAGTAAAAATTTAAAAAAAACTTAAATATTCTAGAAGTAGCATGTTAATCGAATTTATGGAGATAGACTGGTAATTGAGTCATTAAATGGGGATAAATTATAAAACAAGTTATCAATTGCATGCATCCTCTTGAATTTAATGTGACAACAAATAAATACTAAGTGAGAAAGCTTGTGACTTAATTGAACCAAAATAAGAGCAGAAATCCCACCCTTAATAAATAAATGTTAAATTTTAACTTATAAGAAAAAAATAATAAATTTCTCAGAGTTATTCATATGATTACATTTAATCCTTAGAATTTCTGAAGAAATCGAGGATTTGACTATTTCAAGTAAAAATTTCATGTTGGAAGGATTTCTTCCATACAAAGTGGACTAAATCGCTGCGAAGTTTAGTCGAGTCCCAAAATTAATACAAGTCTTTTGGACAAGAGTATCATATTAAGAAATTTTTATCTGGACATATCATTAGATTTTCAAAAAAATATTGCCACAGTTATGTGGACCAGCACCAGATTGGTGGAATAGAAAGAATAAATCAAGTTGTTCCTTAGTTTTATATACAGAACGATTCTTTGTTTGACGTCAGGTTTAACTGATTATCGACGACTCAGAGTTCAGATTAGTGTCAGCGTAGATATTGATATGAAATCATAAACATACCGCCGGGATACTTAGAAAATATTTTACCGCCAACCAGTTATTCTGACTACTAGTGTTAACTCACTATAGCAAAAGTAAAATTGAATTTTAAATAGACCTCTTGGTTAAAGCTAGAGTTCCCAATTTTCTTGGAAATTTGATGAGCAATAAAGTGAAGGAAACCTTGTGTTAAGCCATAACGTAATAATGAAAGCTGCCAGTAATTTTATTACCGGTACTTATGTAGCATTTGTTAACACTTTCCTATTTGGAGATGGAAAGTTCTGATACTTCTAATCGTCTTTTCATTGCGTTCAGCTAATGCAACCCAGGATAAAGGAAAATAGTGAAATTATATCACCCATAAAGACAACATCTTGGCATAAATTCATATCCGCTTTTAGGCAACATGATTTATGGCAAAATTAGCGTATAGAATATGGTCAATGAGATAGCAATAAATCAGATATTATTTCTCATTGCTTTATTGTCTAATTGAATTTGTGAATGTCTGTAACTAGATTCTAATGGTATATGAAAATGACTTGAGTCGATTTAAATCACTTGAAAATCCTGACGAATTAAGTAAAGACTAAAACTGTAATTATTAAATCTGATGAGGAAAACCCGATAAGTTAAGATTTAAACTCGTAATCAACGGTTATTAGGCATCGTTTCCGATCTTATATATCTGAAAATGAACGTGGTTCTAGATCAAAATGGTCGATGTAGCTTTTTGATCGTAGTGCCAAAAGCAATTTCAGAGGTAGTGTATCTGGAATGATATTGAGGATCATAAATTTAAACATTAGAATGTTATTACCAACTCCCATGTTTAATTTATCAACATCAGGCGCTAGAAGATTAAACTTAATGAGATGGTAATCAAAATAAAAAATATGCGTAGATGAATCATTATTTTTGAAAGCAAAATATATTTTGTGTTGAATTTTGAAAAGTCAATGAATACTTATATCTAAATGTACTGTTCTACTAGAAGTTTTAGATTTACTTCTCGCCTTGTCATTAATATATACCGCATCACACAAATATGATGCCTAAAAATGCCATACAGTGTAATAAATATTTACCAAACTCAAATTGACCATAAACGCAAATATTTTGACTTTAAACATTGCTACAGAGAATGCGTACTCGAAGTAGTTTGAATCATTTATATTTCTTGGCCAGTACTACGCAAAATTAAATTGTAATCTAGTACGCTTATAACAGTAAAATAAGATAATCTCCTGTGAATAAGAAACACATATATTTGTTGGCTTAGTAGTTTTGATCACCGATCAATATTAGTTTAGTTACTTGAGTCGCAGCAACATAAACATGATAGCAAACATAATTAGTGGTATCCCGATGTAAGCTTACAACCAAAATTCTAGAACGAAATAAAAAATAACTTTAGCATAAATTAACTCTTATTTGTAAAGCCCATAAGAGCTGAAAAATAACCTTAATTGCGCTTTTAGCTTTTCGCAACAATGCTGCACAGATCAAAGATATCCTTACACGTTATTTTCGCCGTAAATATTTTAAATGCAGCAGAATTTTGACGAGCTTTTATTTGCTTTTTTAAAATTTTCATTGTAACGCCCAAAAGGTTTTAGCGTATTTTTATCATTTTCAGAACTTCTGAAGCTACAGATTAGTAATAATGGTGACGTGCAAAATATCATTGTCTAATTTCCATACTGTAGTCATTCAAATTCAATTTCTTTGACAAGTCTGAAGAAAATCAGGAAAATGCAATCAAAATACACCAAATGGATTCTAACAGTACTCGCCCTGTCCCTCTTCAATTAAGTCTCGGGGATGGATGGGAAAGATCTGCAATTCTACCGAAGCGTAATTTTACGTATGGTGACGATAAAGGTTTGTTGGCTTCAAGGGATCAATAATTTCCTTGCAGTTATATTCTCTTAACCGGTTCTTTTATCTGCAGTAATCTGTATACTGAGGGAGGATCAAGTTGAAGAATGTGTCAAAAACTTTGCTCCCGAAATAGCAGAGAACATGGAAGTCATTAAAGCTCTATCCTCAAATATTGATGTAATTTCTGGCGTAGTGGAAGGGGGATTTACAGTTTGGGACGGGACTCGTCATCTCTTAAACTATTTAGTCAAAGAGAACATGAACTTCAAAGATAAACGCATCCTTGATTTGGGTTGTGGAGCGGGCTTGATGGGTATTCATGCACTAATAAATGGAGCAAAATTTGTTCTTTTCCAGGTGACTATATAGCTATTTGCTTGAATTCCTTTAATTAATCGGGTTTATTAATTCTTTCCATGTGTAGGAATTTAATCAATGTGTGGTAAAAGCTTGGACAATAAACAACGTCAAGATTCAATCGTCTATTCAGCATAACCAGATGGACTTCTGGTCAGGTGACTGGGAAGATCTTGCAAATATCTGGTCTTCCCAAGAGAGGCAATTCGACATAATTCTCACCGCAGAGACTATATATCGACCAGAACTCTATCCCAAGCTTCTCAAGGTGTTTGAAAGCGTTTCTGCACCAGACTGTCAGATCTACGTTGCAGGAAAACTAACTTACTGTGGAAATGGTGGAACTTTCGAGGGTTTCTCTGAATTCGTTAACAACGAGGGAGGTTTTTCTTGTAAAAAGGTTCAAATTGAAAGCGGAAATACGTGTTATGGTTGTTTGATGATGACAAGAACTCGAGAAAAGTAAAACCCGCGCTTTCTAACTTGTATATACTCTGGTATCTTTTGTAATAAACATTTTTTAAAGAACTGCTACAGTTTTTGTTATTAAAACGAGATGATATACAAAGGAGATATGGTAGAAGGAACGTTTTTTTTAAAATTATGATGTGAAATCTGCAAGTGATATGCCTCGATCTTCGTCTGTTTCAATGCCCATATCCTCCTTAAAAAAATAAAACAGATTTTGCTATTTATCGATGAGTGTTATTTAAATTCAGCTAGGGAGTAACCTACCATCAACTGGATGCGGCTTTTGGGATAGTTTTCTGCAATGGCATCTACGATTTCCATGGCCTGTAAAAGCAGAATATTAGAGCATATCGTGTCAAAAAACTGTAAAGGAATGAAGATGGTTTAGGAATACCATCCGTTTGCGCTTTCGCCACTCAACAACAGCCGAATTCCGCTTCGTTTCCACCTATAAAAGAGGGTAAAAACAACATTAGAAAATGTCATCAACAGAAATCGTAGGATTTAATGTAGATATCTTAAAAATATCCACGGGAATCGAGACAGCTACGATTGTACGTTACGGATAATAAACCACCTGCTGCGATATATTTTCGAGTTGATGGAAATTTCGGTACAAAAAATTGAACAAAGAAACAATATTAAGTAAAACTGATTGTGCAACGAGCCAATTGAATTCGCACTGCCAAAGCATAAGGCCAAAGCCATCGATGAAGCTAGCTAAAGAAAATCGATAATGACCGCTGAAACATAAACAAGGGACTCTTTTCCATTTTGATTAAAATCGATAATCTAAAAGTCTTGGCTTATGAGAAAGCTCAGTAAGCCAGAAAAATTCATTTCAAAAGCATCTAATGAATTTGAAGTGATATGGATTTAGGACGGTAAAGTTTAAACGAAATATTCCAAGTTTGTTTCAAATTTGAGTGTTTAACCGACCGGATTGACACCAATTTGCCCTATGCAAACACAACTACATAATCAAATATTTAACTTCGGATTGGTTTGGTACTGGAAGAATTTCCATCAGTCACGCTCGCTGAAACAGTTTGAACTGCCTTCAGTCGTCGTAACTGAAAGATTTAACCATCTTCAAAATTTGTACTAACTGACGCCTTATAAATCTGATATGATTGCTTACATTACGGTAGACCTCAGCATAAAATAAGTTCGGAATTTACAGACTTTAAACTAATAAGAAAATAGAATCGAATAACTATCATAGACGAATTATTACACGTCAAATAAGCACATATGTTTAAATAACCCACCGATTTGAATTCATCAGGAGAAACAGGTTCCTCAGACCCAAGTTCGGCCATTTTTCTTTTAAATTCATGAATCTGCAAAAAAATTCGGCAACTGAAAGTGAACAAACCTGGGCTTCAATATCCGCGTTTAATTTCAAAGCTTCCTCAAGTGAAAGGCTAGATTGTACAGATTTCAACTCTAGAAAGTAAAAGCTACTTTTAAATGAGTTCGTCTTGAACAAAAGTATTATCGAGTCAAGAACTAATTACCTGACTCTGACAGCTTAATTTTGTTTTTGAGTTGCTGAACATGGTTAGTAAGAGATGTGATTTCACTATCCATCATTTTCAATTCCGATTCATCCAAACTAGGTAGCTTAGCCTATACAAATTAGTCAAAGGTCTAAAATGAATCTATTTTGAACCTGAGGTACAACGAACACTTTTTGCTTGCCATAAACCTTCTCAATTAATTCACCTTCGAGGACGAGTTCATCAATTGCTTTGGAAATTGCCTGACAATGAAAAATTATTAACTAGACCCACAAGCATACCGTCTTTCCGTGAGTTTTTTGCAGTGCGACTAAGACATCGTTCACGCTAAAAGGTCGATTTTCACGAGTCATATACGCCAAGACATCGGCTATCAATTATTAATTACATAAAATAGAAGTACTTTTGGGATCCTTTGACATTGTTTCTTATGAAAACGGGAAAATTTAACTGCTTAGGAAAGCTCTAAAGGGAGAATTAACAAAGCATAAGTCGATTATAAATCAAAATGTAACAATTAATTAGGTTGAAATATGGATGACGTACAAATTAGCGTCACTGACATAAATAAAGAGATCACAGTAACATCATGCGTAATGGGCAACTAACCACAATTGAACCTCAGCTAAGAGACTAGTGAACTAGTTGATTAAAAAGTCAATATATTATCGATAAATTAAAACAGACAAAAGGTCGTTAAATAATATTATTTTATTTATATATCTGTGATAAAAAAGATTGACAAAGTATTATAAAACCTGAAATTGTTTATTTTGCCAAACCAATTAATCAACTATAGTTGCCTACAAGTAACTTTGGCTATTACTATTAGTATGATTATTCATAGCTTCCAATAACACATTTTACTTCTTCTCAAGAAAAGGATTTTTGAATATACATTATTTAACCTAGTTTTCTTACATTTAATAAGCCAAAAGTGGGTATTAAGAGAGCGCTTATTGGAAGTGTAGGTCTTCTGTTTCGAGAAATGCAACGGCTCTATTATAAATTTTGAATCAATTTTTAATAGATTGTTTAATGAATAATAAATTTAATTATGTATATCTTGTTTACCGATTTTATACCGTCGAGTTTCAAATAAAGATTCTTAATTCATTTTTGGTTTGTATATTTATTAGTAAAGTAAAGAACAAATGAATTTTGAAAAGGTAAAGAAACAGCATGGTGGTAAATTAAAATGAACATAATTTAATCAACCTTGCAAAAATGCCCCAATATGAAAGACTTGATGATTGTATTTCGACTGCGTTTTCAACTCTAGAAACATGAGCGATTTTGGCACAGGTTAATTTTGATTTAAGAACTCGAAAAATTTATATTCCTTAATATTTGATCAACGATCAGAAACATTTAACTCAAAAAGTAGCAATGATTAAGATTATGATTTTTCACGAATGGCACTGTTCGTTATAATGTAAACTCGCTCTCTTTAACTCCATCAAGCATCCAAAAGCTGATCGAATATTGCTTCTTACTTTCTCTGGAAAATACATTATTGGTGAGATAAAATACCTTTACTAGTAAAAATATTGTCGAAGGTTATAATTTGTGAGGCGACTTATCGATTTGGAAGTAAAGGGGAATATTTGAATTATGCCCACTTTATACCATTCATTAACCAAATAATTATCGCGTCTTGTTATGATCTGATCATCTATTTAAGAAACCAGGCCTATGTTTCCTTTAGAAAACGGACTAGTATCAAATATAACCCTACCGCAATACAAGGTGAAATTGCCCTGACCACTACATTTCAAAGTGAAGCATGTTTCCTATCGATAGATCAATTTAACATATTAGCTTGTTATAAATGGAATATAAACAGATTTGTTCAAATCATAGGGAAGTAAAATACGGAAATTAATGTATCTCATATCTGAGAATTATTAATTGTTACGATTATTACTTTCATACATTTACCATTTCGCATGACGGAAATGCAAAGTAAGCCTGAAATAAGCGGTAAATTCCACATAATTTGACTCACTCTTCTCAAATCCGAAGTAACGAACTTATTTTAACCTTCAATAAAGGTTGCACAAAAAATACTTTACTATCATAAAGGAAATAAACTGTAGTCAACTTGACATATCAGAAATAGTAATAGACTAGTTGAACTAATTTTTCTCTAATGATAATTGACTAGTGAATAGTTAAAACCCCCTTTTGTCTGTTTCAAGATGTGCTATAGATATTTCACGCCCCGCAGGCAAACTTTCCTTTATGAGACTGAGTTGCAAATGAGGCCCCACAATTCTATTTACAACTGGTTACAACACCTGATCCACCTCCCACCATTATCTTAGTCGAAGTATAAAAATCAGGCTTTTTGCGCACACTGTTGCAAAAATTAGTGCCAAACACTCTGGCTAGCCTAGCCCTTCAATTATCAATGGCTAATCTCGATCATCTTGTCAATGCATCGGGAATATCAAATCTCATCGTATTAATCGATTCCCCTCATTTAAACAAGTTTTGCGTTCTAGGGCATTAAAATTATATTTAGGTTTATGGCAATTAATGTTTAAAGCGTTATCTTTTCGCGCCACTTTTAGAATCATTTACAGCAAATGTGAAGATTGTTCTCGAGGCCGAAGAAAGGAGTGACGTGATTGATAATAATTTTAGATTTAACTTATCGCTTTTAAACACCTATCACGTTTTAGACATAGTGTGTTCACAGTCTTCATGGAAGAATGTGGAAAGGAACCGTTTAAGCCTCCCACCTAGCTCAGGTTGAATACATTGATGAAAAGTCAACGGTTGGCCGACTGAAAGCTGAGCTTTCGAGGAATGCAGTTTTTATGACAAATAGAGCAAAGGGACATCTGTTTCAAGAGTGCAAGTAACTTTCCTCTTGCTCTAGGAAAAATATTAGTTTGAAAGTCATTCACTAATTCTCAAATCGTCTCTTAGATACACACCATGTTTAAAAAGGATAAATATTAACCAAGAAGTGTCTTTTATTCATTGCATCTGGTACTGCATAAAAGAGTAGATTTTATCACATTGAAAGTAGAAATAAAGATAATCGTTGTTATTCAACTGATTACCTCTTGCAGCTGGGGTGCTCGATAGACTTACTTCCACATGGTGCTCCCTGGGTAACGTACACTCATACTGCAAAAGAGTCTATAAACCGGCAGTTGACTTCTGACCTTAGGCTACCACAATCCCACTGTATGACATATTCGACCACTTCCACAGTACTCCCCTTACCATTTCCTCCATCTTTGTGTCCGACTCTTTTACATCTTCAAAACACTCTTCTGTCCCCCCTTTCGACTTTTTCACTTTGATGTTCTACCCTTCTGTGAAGCCCTAAGTCTATTAAAGGGCCAATGATAGCTATCATAAAGCCCGCCATTTGATATTAATAAATAAACGTTATTTATTTACTCATTTATTTCAAATGGCAGGCGTTTTGATAGATATCATTAGCCATTTAGCTGACTTCGGGCTTCCCAGAGGGAAGGTTCATCAAAGTAGCAGAAAGTCGAGGGGTGGGGAACAGAAGAGCGATTCACAGATGTAAAAGAGGCAGACAGACACGAAGGTAGAGAAAAAAGGTAAGGTGAATACTGTGGAAGGGGTCGAATATGACAACCAGGGGGTCGTGGTAGTTTGAAGTCAGAAGTCAAATGCCGGTTAATAGACTTTTTTGCCGTATGAGTAAACGTTGCCCAGGGTGCACCACGTGGAGGTAAGTCTATCGC